CGAATGCGGTAGATCGCCAAGTCACGTACTGCACAATGACACCGCTACATAACAGCCAATTCCCAATTAATCGGAGTCATGTTGGGCCAGTATTCGATTGGCAGTAAGCAAAAATTCTAAGTGCGGCTGCTCACATGATTATCCTCTGGGAAAAAGATGAATATTGTAGACGAGTGACTTGACAAAGTGCTTAGCTATCTGACTTCTTCCAACCACAAAGAAATTACCTGGCAACCAGGTACCCGTCTATGGGGCAAAACTGGATAGACTTGTCAGAGGTTCAGTCCCAAGCGAAATGGCAGATACGTTTACATCTATGCTAGATGAATAGCAGTTTTTTTTATGGTTAACAGTATTCCCTAATGAAAGTTATTAAAGTACTTCATCTTGGTATTGTGCATGGATGATTGATAACAGGATCACGCTAATTCAGCGAAGAGGCTGTTTTTTTTTTCATTTTAATCATCCCCTAACCTTCACATGATTTCGCCATGTACTTTACCTTGTAGGTTAAATAACTGGAAATAAGAGGGAGCGCAGAATTTCACAAGGAAAATCACAAAATTAGTGAAGTTTGGCAAGGTTTCATGCCCATCTTAAACACTTTCCCTATGCGGAAATTGCGGTTGAATTGGGATTAATAAATATTGTGAATGTGGTAAAAAACCGTCACAATGTCTGATGCTGTAAAGTTAACTTATAGCCGCACTTTTCTGAAGGGCGGCTAATCCTGAGGTATGCTTATCCTGGCCTCTAAACTACCCAAGTAACAACTTCTTCCCCAGTTCTAATGGACACTGTGATATTCGAAGTCCTGCGGGTTGAGAATATGCAACATGTTTGCCGTTCACACTCTAGGGATGGAAATAGCGCATGGCAACATTCTCGTCCAATAGGATGAAGCGGAAGGAAAATCCCTCACAACTCTGGCGATTGACCAATCAGGATTTAGTCGCTGACTGCGCTTGGGCGAACTGACGAATTGGCGGCTCCCCGCGTCGTGTCCCATACCCTGACAACGGGCGTAATAATCGCCACCGGGGTCACTCCTTTCTGTTTGTATTTAAACCCCCCAGTTAAGATATTCTGTCAGTACAAACATCGCAGCGTTATGGAACAGAGTCAGAATAGTCTCTGTCCGGGCGTGCTCAGTCAGCACCAAATACCAAACAAACAGGATCAGCTACCCGAACACCAACCGTCATCTGTAAGTACGATATTTTACCTTGCCTACGATTGCAATCATGCTTTGATAGCTTAGTTTTTTTTATCGGTGATGGAATAGACAGAGCTTACCTCCTCTGCTTGAGAATGCTAAGATTTTTCTGAAATGGCAATTCGGACCTTGAAAAAAGCTGCCTGCATGAATTTAAACGTGGTTTATAACTTATTGCGCCCAGTGGCTACCCAGAAATCCAATGTGCCATTTTTGCAATGACATAAAAATCAGTGCAATACTTATTGTAAATTAGCATCCAAGTTCATCGTAGGGTCTCAGAAAGATCTTGATTTAAAATCTATGAGGACTACGACTGCAATGTTTCGATCGAGTGTTGACTAGATTCTTGGATCCACAAAAAAGCGATTTCTGCCATTACCTCATCGACGAAATACCAAGATGGGACCTGACTTCCTGTCCAGGAATTAATAACGTGAACACGGAATAGATTAGTACAGTAATGAGGAATTTTCTTACGGTAAGATTCACTAGATATTCACATTGTCATGCCTTTCTAAACATTATTCTGGCATCAATGCGAGACGATTAATAAGCCTGGTGCTTAATCCGCCGTCTCTGTGTTGATCAATTTTTACATAGTAAATTTGCTCATTTAGAGTTCAGTAGACTTCATCTCATAACAGGAGCTGGAAGAAATTTTGCCTTTTTAAATCGGATGCCACACTGGTTGATGCGTGAGATTTCATGGTCGTTGAAAACCACACTTTCGATTCTTCGGCTGTAAGTGTAATTATTTCAGAACATCCCCGTGATTGAGTCACTCAGGCGCAAAAAACCATGGCGCATTTCTCACCTGCAGGCCTCTGTCTCTAAGGCTATTGATGATGTGGGGCGGGGGAGGTGATGGGAGTAACACCAATCCCGACTTCCCGATTTTTTAAGATGATTTGACTTTGTTGCTAGCCCGAAACAAAGATGGGGGTGTGACTTCGATAATAAACCACGGGTGGGTTCTTTTTTATGGGACCGGGTGGTCTACGTCGGAGAAGCATGAAAAGATTTCGGTCTATTAAATTCAGTTTGACTGACAGTGTAGCCAAAGGCGGAATTCTACAACACGCTTATCGACCAATTTTAGATACTTTGGACAGTAGAATCATTGTCGCCACATTACTAATCGCCTTTGTCCAGGTAATCATACTATAATCACAAGATGTAGGTAAAAAACGAAGTTGTCGTAGCCACAGAAACCTATAATTTCAGTTCATGGAAGTCACTGGATTCTGATTCGTGGCTGTCCACTTTGGTTGTGACAGAGAAAACGTTGAGTTCAGTGAGGCACCCACTGCCGATTGACAAGGTGGACAGTTTATAGGTGTTCCACGTAACCTTTAACGTTGGTGCGGGTTTAGAGTGATCCACGAGTTTTTCTCATGAGACACGAGCTGTTTAAATGTATGCAGATTTATCCCCGTTTTCCCACGCCCTACTGCAGGAATAGACGCAATCACCGCAAATTAAGAGTTGTGGGCAATGACTAGCAGGGGAGTTGATGTTGGAGTTTTGACAAGTGTCCTTACTATCTGTGAATCTTTGTCCATGTGACTATTGGACAATCTGGAAAACATCTGGTCTAAGGGGGGAAATGTTACTTAAATGTTCCCCTTTTTGAACTTATTTCATGCGTTCAGCCGATGAGATTCTACTCCTCAGCATTAGTGCACACGTGGAAATGTGGTGTTTTCAGGTTCAGGCCTTCTGTTCTGTTTTACCGTGGATTCATTTCCAAAATGAGCCTAATTATCTTGGGCGGACTAGAACATTTCGGGTTTTGCATGTGAGATAGTGGGCCTATAAACGACTGCTTGTGAAACACAGATTAGAGAGGGTGCTTTCTCTTAATGTAGGATCATTATTTCCTGATTTAAATGGTCGATCATCCCAGGAGGTCTCCAGAGCACTTGTTTGAGTATCCATGTGAGTGCCAATCGTTCACAAATGGGCCTTTCGAGTGCGACTCGAAGGGCTCTAAGTGGTTCGTTAATCGTCTAATCACTCACCCCAATTGAGCCCCAAGAGAGATTCACCACGGCCATGGGGAGCGGTATGGCCCAAGCACTTTGAAAGGTGGTCATCCACAAGCAACTGTGACCACATTTACCAGGAGGGTGGTAGATGGTGCGGCCTCAGGGTGAAATTTTGATTATTTTGACATATAAAATGGAAAATTAAAGGATTTGAACTAAATGTGTAGTCCTGAAACAAATTATAACGCCCAGATATGATGTGAGTTCACGTATTAACGATGTCAACAATTGTTTGGGGTTCGATGGACAGCGGTTACACTGTACCAATGAGACCACGATGAAAAAGTTCCGCGTCTCACAAACTAATCCTTGTTAAAGGTTTCAGGGCCAGAAATCAAACGGTTCAATTATCATTCATAAAAAAAATAATCCAAAAACACTATGCCATATCAAAATTCAATTGGATCACTGTGGTTTTTAAATAGGATAAATTGAGTTATGTAACCGATTACGCAATCCGAAGTCGAAGGTGCTTTGATGTGCTGAAATTGCATTTGCAGTCTGAAAACTTGTTGACGGCACGTATATTTAGACCTTAACTACATCGTAGTGGCAACTTCATTGGTTTCGTTCGCTTCCACTTCCAATAGGTTGAGTGTCAAATAATTCAGATCGTGAATTATAATTGGGTAGTTGTGGATTTGCCTGTGCTTGCACCTTATAGCCGCGGGCTATTTAACTGAGCCTTACTGAAAAAAAGCATGATTCTGTACCACAACACGACCAATGCTACTCTATCAAATTCGTCAGGTAACTCTCAATGTATATTTTAAGTCATTATTATTGATTTATGAATTGTAAATGAATTTTAGCCCACGAATCTGAATGCTAGATTTAATCTGTTTGACTATAAGGGATGATCTTAAATTTCACATAGAGAAAAGGGGGCAGAACAGCCAACGCATATTCGGTTAAGGGAACCACAAAAAACAACACCCAAGTAAAAACACTGGGATGCGTGTCACATGCCCAAACGATAACAATCGGGCCGAGTGGAGTGGACCCGAGCGTGACGATCGGCCACGTGATTGCGGTAATGATAACGTAGCTTATTCGCCTCTCTTTCTAGACTCTTCCCCAAACTCCATCTACCGATTTCACACCTTTCAAACGGACTTTCGAGGGATTAAAAGAAAGCAATTTTACCAAAGGTAAGAAAATCCTCGTTATTACGGCTTCCGAATTCGGCAAGTAACTACCAGTTAACATGAAGTGATAGCTTTTACTAGTAGGAGAATTATTACAAGTAGACGTCAGCTTGTCTATGGAATAAAAATGTCGAAAGTTGCATTCTTGAGACTGATAAATTGCTACTTGTGGCAGCAGCCTTTTTGACTGATCTTTACCATCCTACTTAAGATAGCGGTATCGGAACCACTCAGTATGCCTCCAGCTCGGGATCCGGCTCTTCCAACACAAGTCCGGATCAGGATCAGGAGCTGGCCAAGGTTAGTATTATTTTCAACTGCTTGTTAGATTCTTTTTAATGGCCTCGGCATTGATGGACTAATTTCGGATTTTCCATGTAGAAGATAATTCCAAAGGGCACGTCGACACCCTCGGCCCCACGCCTGTGTATCGAGCTGGATGAAGTGGACCAAAAAACCCCCACACCGGCGATTCCATTGGTTCTTGACGATGCCAATTCAACGGAGATCTCTTTGATGTGTCAGCGTCTCGACTGCATTCAGTCACCGACTCCACAGACCGTTGTTCGGCGTAGGCAACGTCAAATGCATCAGTGTTCATATTGTGACAAACAGTTTGACCGTCCGTCCCTACTCAAGCGTCACACCCTCACTCACACTGGTGAGAGACCGTTTGAGTGCAGATTCTGTGGGAAGGGCTTCTCTACTCGAAGCGGAGTCAATACTCATGAACGTACGCACACCGGACACAGACCATATGTTTGTCGAATCTGTGGACGGCGATTCGCTGCTGGGTCAAATCTTATTTTTCACAAATACACACATACAAATGTGAGTCCAGTGTATAAATGACGACGTAGCTATACCCCGCTTATTCAAATCCACTAACTTTTTATCCATGTGTCAATTTAGCTAGGCTACGAAACGGTTTAGGACTAAATTTGTGCTAGACTTTGGGCTAATCAGCTTGTTTTTTCGACTCCTTATTTTAAGACGCGACGGCACCAGTGCACCCAGTGCCCGAAGGCCTTCGTGACGCCTGGTGACCTCCGCAAGCACGAGTACACGCACACTGGCGAGTGGCCGTTCAGGTGCGCGGTGTGCAACCGAGGCTTCGCGACAGAACGCAACCTCAAGACCCACGAAATCATCCACACTGGTATGACGTTTCTGAGTTGCATTGCAGAGGTGACTGCCCTGATGCGTAGCCTTTATGCGTCTTTCCTATTTACAGGTCAGAAACCTTTCACTTGCACTATTTGTGCAAAATCCTATACACAAGAGAGCTCCCTCAAGACCCATATGAGGAATCACCAACGTAAGCAGAAGCGCCTGTGTTCGCGGGCTACAAATGTTAAACATTTGCAGAAAAACCCTAACAGATGGGTTTTTATTTTAGAAGACTTCGCAGGCGCAATGAGTCAAGGGGCTCCTCAAAATATGGGCTCCTCCCCACCCTCAAGGGAGGGTAGTCAAGTCGCCCAGCAGTCCCTAACACAGAGGCAGCCAATTCGTCTTGATCAAATGCCACCATTTAGCTCCTTGGCATTCATGGAGCACTACCGGCAGTTGTACCAAGCGTACATGAGAGGAGTTTTACGGGAGTTGCCTACGAGCAGTCGGAGTGCCTTCACAGACCTTCGAAGACCAGAAAACACCCACAGTCCCCTCGTTCCCAGTATTTCAGGCCTCACATTGGAACAGGCGACACCAGAGCAATTTCCTCCCGAACAGACATGCGTTCTTGACCTCTCCAAGAAAGATCGGCGGTAGTCGGCAATCAAAGGTAAACACTGTGATACACTGCCAACAAGAAAGCAAGAACTGTGAAACACAATCCAGGGCATTTTTACAGATTTGTAGATATAAGCCATCAACGTTCATGCTATTTAACTGATTTTTTTTTAATAAATGCCATTTGTACAGAATATCTTTCTTCTACTTGGGTCCAGATCATCGGGTAGTGCCAAATGTATGTGGTATGAGAGAAGTGAGATTCAGGTCGGGATAGGTGAAGTCCATTTTTCTGCTGTACACGTCTGTAAAGCTTTAGGAAATGCAAAGTGGGAAAGTAATTTCGGGATGCTTTTCCGAAATGCCAATCTCGGTAACGCATAGCTCATATTTATTTCTTACCTGGCATCACTCCACAAGTTTCACTTGAAATCCGTCATAAAACAGTCACCATTTAAGTTTTTTAAAAAAAATTAAGAAGTGGGTATTTGACTTCCCAGCACACGATACAATTAACGAGGGGAATAAACCTGTTTCAGAGAAAAAGACTGGATAATAATTTTCCATTTGAAAATCACAGAACCGATGCTTAGTTAATCAAAATTGACACATAATTAGGGAAGTAAATGAAACCTAATGTGACCTCGAGAGCAGACTCATCAATCGCGGCAGATTGTCTCATATTAATCACGTTGACAGACCGAAGGATGACTTAGGGATGACGAGTGGTAACTGCTTTCTTGCGTTTGGCCTAAACTAGGCCGCCACGTGCTTCTCTAGAATACAGTTTATTAGTGATCGTATTCTTGCAAATGATTAGCACAACGCAGTAAACATGTTTACGTCACTAGCTAAATGGTGATTTTACTATTGTGCCGAGACCCTAGTAACAGGTCATGTCAACCCCCAGCCTAAGGGAAGTGCTGCTGTTGCAGTGGTGTGTGATAAAATGATTGACGGCACTTCTCCTCCGCCTGCTCAATTCAGTAAAAATTGAGGAGAATTTCACAACGACCGCACATTTCTACACTGACGAAAGCAAAGTTGGAAAACCACATCAACTACTAGGCAACAACAAGTACTGCGCACATGTAGCTTTTGTCTATAAGAGATTGAAGTGCCTGTGTTAAAAGCTGACGCAAATCCAGATTAGTGGATTCAAGCACCAAATTGTGACTTTGTGGTACCTCCCGTTTCAATTTCTTTAATTATTTCGTCTTGCATTCTATTAGATATTACATATGGCTAATTTTTAGGCAAAGCCAAGGGTCGGTAAACTTGCTACAATGAAAAAGTACGCTCAAGACCCAACGAATCGATAGACATGGTCGTTTAATTTGGCAGTTGTCGTTGGCGCTTGGTCCGAAATCCACTCATTAAATCCCAACTGGACACCCCAGCCCAGCCAAATAGTTAATTTAGAGCGTTCTATCGCTTTCATATAATATAGCAAAAAATCTCACTTGGTCAAAAATGAAAAAATCGCATGATGTCAAAGTTTCCCAAAAAAAATTTGTTTGGCAAAACTTTTGGCGGAAAAGCCGACTATCCACCTGGTTGTTGTGACCTAGAAGGCAATTTCAGCCACTGCGCTGAAATCGTGCTAGCATAGGAACAATTTACTGATCCAACGAATCGCAATCATCAAGGGTTAATCGTTCATTCCTGTCGAACAGTTTGGGATAAAAGTCGGATTGGAAATCCGCATGCCCCCTTCAACCTTCCCTTATAATCCTTATTAAACTTCGCTGAATTTCGGCGAATATTCTGAGGTGAGACCGCAGGACCGGGACACGGCTAAGGCGTTATCACTGGGCAGCAACCGCACCAACGGGCTGCGAAAAACGTGCTCGTTTTCACTAATCGAGGACGTTTCTTATCGCATTTAGAGGGACGTATGGTGTATGAAAAACTAAAATTCTAACACAAGAGTTGGTGGGCTGGGTACTAAAGGAACCATTGACTCCTAGCTACAAGCTACAGCAGTCTTTAGACATTGGGACAACGTAAGCGTGATACCAAGATCCACAAAGGGGAAGTTCCTCGTTTCGACATCATTTCCTTGCAACAAAATAACACACTACTAATATATTTATGAGCAGTAACAAAAATGAAGCCTTGTGCTAGGCGGATAAATCGCCCATGGGTAATAAACGCCCCTTGCGTGGAACATTTGCATACACAACGCATCCGCCGCTGTTTACGGAGTCGGGTTCACGTGTATGCGTGATATTCCCTCAGAAATATCACAGAGTAACACAATCGTGTTTAATGAAGGGATGTGAATCACAGACCACGAAACCCTTTGACAGACCACCAACATGGGCACCATCAAGCTTGTTAGAAAACGGACTTTGATGGGTTTCGAGGATGCTGAAAAGGATTTTGCCCTAATTACTAGGCTGACAGGTTTCTGAGAAAATCGCTAGCAAAAGTTATACACTCGAAGCGGCGAATTAGAAAGGGTTAACGAGTGGTCCGTGTTCGAGTCCCACTGTTGCTTCTTCTTTTTGCATTTTCTTGGTTCAGACATCACAAGATCGCGAAATTCGCAGGCTCCAAAGACTTCGTCACAGGGGATAAAGTACCAACATCTGCCTGGTGCCAACAAAAAGTTTCACCTCTAAAATTACTACTGATATAATCGGTTGCCAGTGCCAATCGACGTAATGTAGATTCATTGACGAACAGAGGTTGAAACTGGAGAGATTTAAAGAACCTGATCATTAACTACTCCTGATTGCCAAGCTTATCGATAAATTCAAGAATGCAATTGTGATCTGCCCAAAATCAAGTAGGTTTTGGAAGTTCCATTCTCAAGTGCACCGGTGAGAGGAATTTATACTGATAATCAATTTGTGAAGCCAGCAGACTGGACAGTGGCTCTACAACCACATATTTCCACACACTTTTGCTATTCAAGGGATCTCAGCAAGACGTTCACCGCCCCGTCAACCGCGAGACGTTTATTTTTACCGCCAGGTAAAGTGTTTCATTAAAAGATCTTGGAGTGTTGAATGTGAATCAGTAGCTCAAGTCCAGAGATGGTTCCGCACAATCGAGTAGTTGAATTTCGTCCAACCAGTGAATGGATACGCATGGTCTGCATCGAAATTAATATAGGAAACTTTTGGAGGAAAACGCACATCTGCTGAGCAGTTTGTCTCATAAAGTTTGCATAGCGTTGCACCGTGTTGTCCTTTACGGTAATTGTCACCTACAAGATTGTTACTCCATGTAGACGGCGACAGTAAGTGGAACACTAATATATGTATATACATAATATAATTAAATGACGTTGTTTCACGCAGCCTTGCATTGTGATGTTTACTATTCCTATTTCGTATGATAGGGTAAATAAACGAGAAAGTGGGAGAACGAAGCAGCGAGGGATTCGGACACGGATCACCCATGCACTCTGCCTACTGCGCCGCGCGTTAAATGTGACCACCGATTTTACCATGGCCTACCAGGAGAAAGTCTGTCAGCCTGGTTCTCAAGACAAAATCTGTTTGCAACAGGGTTGTTGACTGCCGTGACAGTCTGCCGCATCACGAACCCGAACACCAGACCGGCTGTGAAATAATTCAGCGCCTTTTAACACATTGGTGAGCGACACCACCCCCAACGCCAATGCTTGAGCTGAGTGGGCCGTAGACATGAGTGACACACGAGCACCAGCATCGAATGTGTTGGGCCAGTACGCGAAGAGCCCCAACGCACCACATTTGACGATGGGGACTCCCGCCGCAAAGTCGACGCCTTAACCTTCTGCTCTTGCTTGTGTGACGAGCCGAGGTATTGTATACAGGAAACAGGTTTGGAGAAAGCCTCAACGCCAAAGCGAATACTGAACAGCATTAACCAAACGATAATATAGGACTATAATACATTTGAGAGGCTCATAACACAGTCCCTGAGGCGAAACACAATTTTGGAAAAAAATCATATATTGACACGATCCTCAAACTGATTCATCATCTTTATCCACCTCCTCTTCGGATGTGCCGTCATCCTCCTCCTCCTCCATATCCACATCAGCTGATTGCAATTCGTCCTTATCAAGGCCAGTGGAAGCCCATACAGTGTCGATCCGGGTCAGACGAATGTCGCGGATGTCGTAGGCGAAAACGGGACGCAGAGCATCGGGAGAGGAGATGTCTGTGGAGGTCTCAAGGTCGACCGCGTAGCCACGCACGTAGGAGCCATCAATGTCGGTGGTGACCAGGGTGACTAGACGTCGCCTACCTCCATATAAGTCCGGCTGGCTGGAAACAAGTTGGGCGGGCCAGGGCAGGACTTTGAGGAACTTGAGGCGCTTTCCGGGGAGACGGCTCTCCCCAAGAGGTTCCAGTTTGCTGGCATTTGCCATGGTGGCTGCTATTGGACATCGGAAAGCCTAAAACAAGGGACAGCATTGCACAGTATGAGAGTAATTCGCGGGAAAAAAAATCAAATGAGTGAAAATGATTATGACATTGGTCCAGATAAACAGCTACCTACCAATCTAATCGAGAACCGACATAAGGATTCCTCATTTCAAGGATCGGCTTAATCTATCCAAAATAAATAAGATGTATTCGAATTCAATCCAGGGACAAGCTTGCATGATAGCAAGCTCCTATGTATCTTATCCTATCTAAATACAAAATGACCCCGTAAAAGGCTATGTTATTACTACGGTGCAGACCACTTCGGAGATGTTTCCGAATCAAATGTTTTCAGTCGATTAAAAAGTTATTCGAAAATCCCAGACACCTATTTGACAAAGCGCTAAAGCCAATGTGAAGGAAAACGAATTTCTCCGAATGGAAACACCAATCACCGTTTCATGTGCGATCTTCAAAAAGCAATCATTTCACTAATTAGCAATGCGAAAGGGCATCTGCAATTCATGACGAAAAACTATCTTTCACTAAAGATTATTGGTGAATTCGATAAGAGAAGGACATCATTTTGACGATGGCCAATAATAGCACAATTTTAAAGAATATTAAAATGCACCTTAATCTTATTTCCGAACCCAATCAATAGGTAAAGATGTTCTTCGTCCTCGTGAAAGACGACTGGTGGAACGGAGAAGGAAGTGGAGAATTTAGCGCTCAACACAGGTTTATCTTTGTTCTGGTTCAAGTCGACAACATCGAGGCGATCGTAGGGCCAGGAGATAAGCAAGAAGTGACCAGTGATGTCTATAGCAGACGCCCCTTCTGCGTTGAGGGACTTCAAGCGAGTTGTGTAGGCCTGCCGACCCCGCATCAGGTTCCAAACACGCAGTGTCTTGTCCTCTGAGAGCGTAAAAGCGATGCGAGAGGAGGGATGGAGACACAGAGAGGTGATGGGACCCTTGTGACGACGCATTTGACGAATACATTGCCAGGTGGCGGTGGTGGCATTTCGAGAATTCGGCCGGCGCCATATCGCTAGGCATGCATCTTCGCCAGCGCTTAAAAAATGGCGGGAATCTGCGAAAACGAGGTGACGGATGCTGCCAGTGTGAACCTCAAGGCAGCCCATACGACAGTGTTTTGATAGGGAGAATATCTAGGGAACGGAACGATGTCAATTTCGTGGGTTCAGAAACTTCTTTATAATTCTGTTGCCGAACTTAATCGAGGAGACAGGCGATGCAACTACATTTTGACAGTGGCTACCACGTTTTCCAGAGTACTTACTTTCGGGACATATATATATATAAACTTTTGAGGAAACTGAAAATTGAAGACAAATACGGTACTTATTCTAATATTGAAAGCATGGGAATACGAAGTCCCTCGAATCACACATACTTAAATACTCTAAAAGTGGTTTTGACGTCCACACTTAGGGGCATCAACAACGAATCCTAAAGATAGGTTTCGAAACACCCGCTCTACAGTAATCAGATGGTTAACGTAGCTTATCCTCTAGTAGCATGCACGCGGCCGGACCTACATGCACATTTTACACTAAACGAAATCAGTAGAACTATACAAGGATTAACTTAACAAGTGATTGCAACAAACCTGAATAGCCTCATCAGTACTTCCTGATACGACGACATCACCGCACACCGCAAGTGCAGTGACTGGACTCGGATGTGCGTCAGGATCGATAAATTCTGCTTTTAGTCTGATTTGGCCAGTTTCACTGAGAGTCAAATGGTCGTAGGACATAGCGAACACCGATCCATCGTAAGAGCCGCATGCAACATAAAGCCTTAGCGGGATTGTCGAAGACATCCAAGTAAATTAAAATTCCTACAAATTCCATTACAGAAAATGCACAAATTAGTAAATTACAAACGGAGACAGTAATATACCCATGTCAAAAGCAGTGTAAGATTCAAATACTAACAAATATTCAGTCACACTAGTTCAGCTAGCAAGGGCGCTGATGCCATCGTCCCAAAACCCACATGTTAATAACGATTTAAAATTTGCAGAATTGAGGTAGAACATATGGTAAGTTAACATTGCATATCACGCAAGCTGCGCTCAGTTACTTCATTAATAAAAACGTCCATTTTAGGACAAATCCTCACTAGGCCGCGCGTATTGAAACTAGGGTCCTGAATATAAGTACTGACCTGGAAAAAACAACAATGGCGAATATTAAAAATTTGGGTATCTAACCCAATAAAGCACGTGGGCGAAAGGCTGGACGTGGGAAAACGATACGAAAGTACGATTATCATTGGTTGGCTGATCAAAAGATTATACAAAGGAATATTTTGTACAAATTTTTAAAACTCTTCTATGTAATTAGAGTTGAAACTGTGTAGATGTGTTTGAATATACAAATTATAAAAACCTCTTTCGAAGAGAAACATGACAGATTTTCACCACGAAATTTCTATTTCTTTACCACAGAATATAAGAGACTCTACGGCAATAAATCAATTTGGTAAAAACTAAACATGCATCATGACTAGGGTAAAGATGAAATTTAGAAGAAAACAGGTTTAGTTAGAACCATTAACTGAACCCAGTGGAGATACGTAAGATGTGGTGTGTAAAAGAGGCCGGGGAGTTTTAAAAATGCAACAATTTATTTGGCATTTTTACACATACAACAAATTTAAAGACAGTCAGAAGCGGGAAAAATAAAATAAAAAAATGGTTTTTAACTAAAATTCATCGGTGTAGGAATGATAGATTCCTCCGCATTTGCATTTATTGGCATCATGTGCAAATTCAAAGCCGAAAGAGTACTAACTATTAGAAAAAGGCTAGCGCACATTTCACCATTTTTCAAGGTATCATAGTTGTTTCGATAAAACGATCATAGTAAAACCTTGATGGAATGACTTCCACGAATTTAATGAGCTTTGGTGAATTGAGATCTTTGATCCAAATGTGACCAAGAAATATATGCTGCCGTTTAAAAATATTTTTCAACACCTACTAAGAACGCTTATATGCCTTGGTTAATCATTAGCACCTAAGTCAGCATTAACCACTTTTGCCCCAAGGACTTTAAAATTCCTAAATGTAATAAAAGGGGATACTCCCTTAGAAGCATGGCAGGAAGGTACCTAATGCATTTTTGTGTATGTTAGGTTTTTTTACATTTTTGTCAAAACCTACAGAATAAAAAAGGTAATGCAAAAAATCCCTTCGAATTAGATCTGAAACTTGCCATGCTGCCCTTTCTGAACTTTAGATGTTTTAAAACAGTAGCTGTTTTAACTTGAAATACACATATTGGCAATTTTAAAGTTTATTAATAAGCATTATAACCATGTTTGTCATGTTACTTAGTTTAGCGTACTGAAAATCTTTTGTTTTATATTGCCAAGTGACCTTACTTCGATGCGTGGGAGTCTGTAATGCGTTGGCCGTGGCAACGCCTTCATGTTTGATTAGTGAGCTAAAGTTCTGCTTTGTGCATCTGAAGCGAATTTTTCAGCCTTTTAGTAAATTTTTTAATTTCTTCGATAATTATTGTAAGAATTAAAAAAAACATACCCGTATCTGTTATAATTATTCGTTGATTTAAAAGCAGTTTTGTATAGACCACAAGGTTGAATGATTTCCTCTCTGTCTTACACGTCGGTAGAAAATATTTTGGTGTAATAAACTAAAATTATACAAACGTCTGAAAGCAGAAGAGCTGTGCTTAAAAGGCTAATCTTAATTTCTCAATCTCGATTCTCAGATCTGAAATAAGATCTTACATTTACCAAAATCTTTTTCGTGAGAGTTACATTTTAAACCCGTTAGTGACATTAAATTACCAAACAATGCAAATATTTTACTGGTTTTCCTGGGTTGGATAGTAGATGTTTTGCCGATCAGCAGTAAGCATTTACAAATGTTTAATTTCTTTTCGTCATTATCTTTAAGCAACCTTAACGTGGATTTTACTTAATGCCTTTGGTTAAAATTTAAATTGCAGTTTTTATGTGGCCGTGAGTCACTGCAGCCTTGGTTTATTCCTACGGATCTTTGCAAATTTAAATACGCAATATATCGCACTAGTCATTTCGTCAAAATTTATTGTGTAAGTAGAGGTAATATTTAAGGGTCCTCTTAGTGTTAGAATAGGTTTTGAAGATAAAATTTTATTTAAATGGTCAACAATCACAAAAACGACAAGAAAAATTGGCTGAACTTCTCCGGTAATAATGCAAGAACTAATCAGACAAACTAGGAAATGATCTTTCGAGATATTGTTTCAGCAGTTAATTGTGTGGTTGCAACTTTGTTACTAATTTCCGAGAAATAGAATCTGAACAATTCTTCTAGGCTTGCAAAGCATGTGACACTGCAAATATTTTTGACAAAATATCAGAAAGCCCGCGAGTTATACTTCAAACAGACACTTTAGATTGGTTCCAACTTGTCACGTTAAGTTAAATATAACATGGCTTTAAACTAACCTCTAATTAAACAATTGGAAAGTTTTTCCGCCTGTTTTACTTTCTTGCGTTTGCTATCTACTATATCAGGGCAGCAATTTACATGGGTATATTCTGCATTTAAAACCTAGACGTAAAATCGATGTCTGCATAAATAATTTAACTTTTTTTATAATTAATAAGGTTATCAAACCATGCTTTCTCTTAACCAGATAAATGGATTCATTCTACAGTCAGTTGGCCGCGGAGGCTAACGAAGATTGGGATTTAACACCAGTAATTAAACATTTAATGGTATTTTATATGTTTAGGCCAAACCATTTGGTCTTTCAGCTGGCCCGAACAAAGATGTGGATATTGATGATTTATTAGATGGATTTGATTTTACAGGAAAACCAGTTACAAAACCAGAGGCATTTGCTCCTAATTCCGCCCTTGATTCGAGCTTTGGTGAGTCCTAGTATTGTTAATTTACGCCCCAATTATAACATGAGACAGTGCCATTGCACCTATCTTCATGCTTTTTTTCGGTTAACGCCACTACGCAATTACGGATGTTGCAAAAATAGCAAAATTCTTAGATGATTCCTCTATGCGTACTCAGTGCACATTTTTGTGATTTTTTATGACTTTAAGATTGTCATTCGCTAAAATGTTTAGATTCTTCAAAGTTAACGGTTGAGGCAAAGCCAATTGGGACCTCCTCTTTGAACGAGACCCAGAGTTCGACAAGCACAAGCAACACACTTTCCTCAAGACCAGCTCCACAGAATGGCTCTACTCAAAGTAGAAGAAACATCCTCGATTCGCTACTAACTTTTGATGGCGGAACGGACACAACTGGTGGCGATTCAGATGATCTGACTTTGAAGAGAAAAGCCAACGACGGAGTTGCAGCTGCGGTCGACATCAACCTTGACAACTCGTTCGACATCAAACCGTCCCGACGTTCTGTCCGTTTTTCGGAGAATTTGGTGGGTATGACGATATAGTGCATCCGACTGTATTTTCTTAGTAAACTATGCCTCGGTTTTCATTATTTGAGGCCCTAGAGACCATCTGCATCCTTTCAATCAATTGCAGTAAGGTGTTGGTACATTGTCAGTGCTGATTTTCAGTGGGTTTAAAGAAGGTCCTGTTTCTACTTCAGGGAACACAGCCAAAATTCATGCATAATTTAATATTCAACATGCAAAAGTAAATTGTGACGGGTTAATACAAATTGAAACCATTTTCTACTAGTCAGTAGTTAAAAACTCATTAGGGCTCGTAAGCAATAAAAATATACTTTCGACTTAAACTGATTTAACTCCGGGTCTGGTTTGGTTGTTTTGACATTTTCACTGTAGGCCAAGCAGGTACTGAGCATAACATTTATTGTAGAACGACAACCTCCGGGAATTCTCCACGGGAAATGAAGCTCTCAATTCCAAAGCAACACGATCCAATAACAGTGCAGAGGAAGACGGTGACACCATGGTTGCTCATATTTCCTCCTCCTCATCCTCTTCCTCCTCAAGGCCACAGACTGCTCCCGCAGGAAAGCGAAGAGGGAGAGGAAGTTCATCGGGTTGGGGTGACCTTGGAGAAGAGTTTGACTGGCCACCGAAGGGCTCTGCGACGAGCGACAGGTGAGTTTGAGGGTAGATCTGGTGTGGTTCAAAAGTACATCCTCAAGTCATTGTTGAATGGTGTTACAGTTGCCGGTAAACAGACACTAGCCCCAAGTGCAATTAACCGAACCCTTTGTCCAAGTTCGTCGCCACCTTCCCAAAGCTAGGAAAAACACAAGATCTCCTACAGAGAGCTTTCTACTACCTCAACCGAAAACTGATTGACATGTCAGAATAAGCAGTTTAAAAAATCCGTGGGTGATCTTGACCAACGGATCAAGAAGGATTCGCACATATGGGAGATGTCAGTGGAAGGCTTTATAGATGAAGTGACCACATGGGAGCTGTGTGCATAATCACGAATCCTCAATTAATCAAACAGTCTTGGGCCTTGCTAGCTTCCTCAACAAATACCAAATCCCACGATATCTGTGGTCCGTACAATCGCCTAAAAGCTAACCCACTGTAAATACAGCTTAAGTGTTGTGATTGTGGCCTGAGGTGCTGGAGTTTTAATCTATGGTTTAATTTACCGGGTCACAATTTTTCACTCATTCGACACTGTGATAGTCATGTGGGAACCCAGTGGGTGAAATTTGCTCTGGTTTATCACTAACTTCTTGCAATCGGAGGTCAGTTCCACAACACGGCGTTGTGTACAGTAAAACTAGCGTATCGCATTAAGGATGTCTGTTTCGTGTATGAATTCGCTGAGGTTCGTCTTATGCATGTTCTTAGTTAGACAGTCGAAGACATGCTAGCATGACTCAGGTGACATAAATTTCGAAAGTTTAAATAATATTGGTTTATATTTCCGGATTTCACTATACGGCTAACAGCAACACGAGCATAACATTGTGTGGTTCTCAGACTGTCAGAGAATAAAATGTAATGCACGTATTCGGTGGACCAGTGCCTCATTTAAAATTTCTGCGTCTGCGGTTTTGGTTTAGCGAATTCAAGAGAAATCAGCAAAGTGCTACTAACACATTAGTGGATAGGAAGAATGCAACTGAAGTAAACAAAAACAAACGTAAGTAGACTGATTACTTTCCTCTCCCAACCTCCAGAGACTGACAACTTGCCTTCTTTCTATTTTTAGCAGAAGCCCGATCTGTCATTGCCAATTCAAATTCTGGGGATGTAGTAAGTTTCCATGCATATTTTTGTCAACTGTGGCCCTGTCTTGCCTCTGTGCAATAGTTGATGAAGCTAAAATGTACTAGATTAATTACTCTAGCATCCCGTAAGCTTCCCAATTCGCATAGCGTTCTTAATAACCAAGTTGTTGCTATTATTTGAACATCCATCCATTGAATTTTATGCGGTGATATATACTGACGTTGCCATGAATGATGAGAATTGACAACACACGACATCGAGTATCATGTCCTTTTGCAGCTAAAGATGCCCATTCGGTTAACAGCACAATTAGATGTTGTAATACTGAAACAACTCTTTTACCTTGCCAAATACAGACTCGTCGATCCTTAACTATCAAAGATCACAAGGAAAGATCTTCATCCTGGGAACCCCAGCGATCAACCACACTTATGGTATGTCGCATTTCTACGTTATCAGATGGTACTTATAAATTCAGATAGCTGTAGCGGGCTGAGGAGCCTTGGATTTCCCAAAAATTAGTTATCGGGGTTTTCGTGTTCGAGAAGTCAAGAACTTGTCACAACAAATGAGCATTCGCTCCGTTGACTAAGTTCAATGGGATTCAGTGACGAAAACAGAGAGGCTTTATTTGCTCTGCGCCGCGGTATTGAAAACCCATCGATAATTTCTAAGACAAGCCTCATTTAACAGTTACAACCCAGAGTGTTCATCAGAGTAAGCTAAGGTTGGTATAGTGAAATGGGTTCCACGTTCCTTGCAGGGAACATCCCTGAGCATTCAACTGAATACTGGTAATCAACATTGTTGTACGTTATTATTTATCACCAGCAAAGGTTGGAAAATCAAACTTCTTCACAGGAACTGAAGATATTGCAGAGGCTACTGAACTAGATTTAGTAGGACATCTAAGCTACGCTCTTATAAAAAAAATCGGTAGGGGTCATGTTACGTTTGCCCGTAACAAAGAGAAGAACACTCAAATAACGGCACCAGATCCTCTGTTGACGCTAGCACCGACTTTCCCACGCTACTTCAAGAACAAGACTAGAGCTCGTGTAGAGAGCTTTAATCACGTCAGCCACGTGCGGAGTGAGTTGTCAAAAGTGAAACTCATTCAAGTCAAGGTTGACCTTGAGCTGATAAAAAGCGTAATAAAACATATGTCAGGGAATTAGTGTAAATAATGACAAAAATCGGCGATGAGCAATCTTGGGGAATCCTGGATCCCCAACAGGTCATGATTGCTTGAAGCTCGTGTGAGTCGTCACGCGAGTACCCGAGGCAGGTGCAGAGTCCTTAAATGAAAAGGCTTTAGAAATAATTTAGCATTTCATTAATAGGGGAATGGGTGCTATCGGTGGTTGCGATGTCTTATCCAGATTGGTAGGAAAAATAGAAAACGGCTGAATGTCGGTAGTCGTGCACAGTAGGCACACTGCCTTGAAACTTGTCTCTGCAAAGGACTATAATGTGCATCCAAATAGCTAGAGGGCCTATTAGAACTCTCTCTACTCCTAGGGATTTGATTCAGTGGCAGACGCGTCCGAGTCCAACCACATGGTGAAGCAACTTCAAACTGAGGTTGAAGGGCTGCGCGGACTGCTCAAATTGACAGGGGAGTATCACAGGGAAGAAATTAAGTTGCTGAAGCAGTCACATGCGTAAGTCGATTGGTCACTTCGTGCAGCTGAAGCACACAGCTACACTATCGGTCAAGTCCTCAATAAACGCGTCTGTGTCTAGGTGTGCACAGCTTCCTTCTTACTTTTTGAAATATCTACTAAGCGGCTATAAGTAGCGCGTGTAAGTAAAATTGATTGTTAACTGTCAATGTCGAATACCTCAAGCCTCGAAGGCTAATTCAGGCAATAGTCTTTGCGAAAACTTGAATTTTTTTGGAAAACTCAATCATTTTTAAATCGACCTGGACTCTGAAAACGAAGAAAGTGAAGCAAAAATGCAAATGTGGTGTATAATACGTGCACCCGTCTTCTTCATATATTTGTACAGTGTCGAAGTCATAGATGTGAAGCAACGTTAGGACATGTTTTGTATTAATCATGACATATAACGCCAAAACACACTCCCTTCCCAGTGCTTTAGTTGTTTTTTTTTCCACCAGTAACAGCACAGTTGACCGTACTCTTGACTAACTTGCTTTCCATTCTATTGGTAAAGGGTTTTTTACTACCCAGTCGGAATTTTCTTCAATTTCTTTTGGCGGCATTCATAAATCGTCCAAACTTGTCCAAACTTCACACATTTGAGGACTGTTGTGTTCGCACTGAATTCCCTTAGTCTATTCTTTGCAAAACCTGACGTTCTCCATCTTCATTTTTTACAAGGTCCAAAATCAAACTGCTTGAGGAAAATTCTTCTCGAAGGGAAAACCAGTAAGTGCCGCTTGTGCATTCCTACAACCTACTAAGATTGGCTTTATGGAATTCACTTAAGATAAAAAGGAGGGTCCATGTACTTTAAACTAACTCATTTTTACTGGTTCCAGTTTTTATTAAAACTACCAGTATCTGTCGGATTAATTGATCACTTGATTGGCTATAGTAGCTAATTAACATGCCATCCGTATTTGCAGTATGTTGGGAGCACAGGACTTTGTTTCTAGCCAGGGAAAAGAAAAGCAGTGATTGGTGTGTAGTTGTTAGGACGAGTAGTCCACAGCTCATTACGCTAAAATGCGTCACTTAATGATCAAAGCTATTAATATCTGGATGGTCTTCTGTCTCATCATGAGTGGAATTCTGAGCGAATTTCTCCCCTATTGAAACGCGTGGCGCTTAAGGGGTTTCGGGAAGGGGAACATTTTAAATTAAAACATCATACCTCAGATAATTTAGTGGATTTGCAAATCTTGACACTACCATGCATAATGTTCTCTTGGGGACAAATGTGTATTTTACCAGAGTTACCGTCTGTGCGATGGCAAAAGCCTGATCGAATTCGAGGCATTACCTAGTTTTTTGATGGTTATGGTAAAAAAAACTGGGAAAAGCCCTTGCAGATTAAGTATTTTGAACTTTTGACATTGACTTCATCTGACACCTCAGTAATCAAAGCATCTTTTAGTTCAGAATTATTGCATCGAGTTTAGAAATTTAGTCGAAGCTTAAAACTGCTGTGGTCCTGTTGTGTTTCTTTAATTGCGCACCGTAGGATCTTTAAGGAATGAGGTGTTACAAATGATTTCAGCTTGAAGGAGGAGCTCCAGTTCAGTGTGAGCCAGTGCAAAGACCGAATCACACAGCTGGAGAAGTACAATGAGACCACGCGTGTGGACCTGACCTCCGCCATCACAGCGACAAAGGAAGACGCCTTGAAAACCATTGAGACCCTTCGCAATGAACATGCGTGCGTTATTTACTTGAGCAAATTTCTGTCAGTCGACAACCCTTTTACGAGTTAGCAGATTTGTGCTGACAAATATCACGCTCTGGGTAGGTTCCGGTGTTGGATGGCTCAGCAAAATCATCTTCTGCCATCAATAAGATGAGCGATATCTGCTACTGACGCCTAATTCCTCTTGCCCCACTTTTAAATTCTTGCCTTTGCGATAGTTCGTTCAATCAGCAAATGAAGATGGCTGCAACTTCGATCGTGAAAGCCATTTCAAAATTCTTGGAAAATAACAAACTGTTTGTTTCCGTGCTCGCATTTAGATGCATTGGATGCGATCGTAAATGAGAATCTTTTAATTAAGCCAGCATTGGTAGAGTAGCCCGTTGGAGATACTGTACTTTCGTACCTAACCTACTGTGTGAAAGATTTCATCCGCAGTGACGGGCGGTGTGGTGTCATTTATGCTAACTACAAACGCATTTACTGTCTATCGCTTCCAATTCTTAATGATTATAGTCCTTTAAGCCGCATTGTGAAGTAAGTAGTCAACTCGAATTCACACTGAGTTAAACTGCAGTTGTCTTGGAAATTTTTCTTAAAGAAAAGTCTCCTGTAGGTAGGAATAAACAGGTACTAGTTTTCGACACACCACTCTTGATTACTTTCTCATTGGCATCATTTTACCTAGTATTTGTAAAATCTCTTACACTTCCTGCTTGCCGCGATGTGGTATCGTTTGCTTGCTGAAGGCTCGAACTAGAGGTGATTGCTGAGCGCCACGCCAAAGCACTGACCAACTTGCGGGAAGCTGACGCCAACGAAGCCCGAGTTCTTTCGGACATGCAACCGACTGTGGAGGCCCTACGAACACTCCTCTCCCAACTTCTCACTGCTACGAATGAAATCAAGCAGGCGGAAATACATCATCAAACGGCAGTCACACAGCGTCTGGCCAAGCTTGACAGACGCGAAGAGACTTTAAAATTGGCAGAGGAACGATTATGCGAACGAGTCAGTTAGTAATTGTCTTTCTACTTTTACCGTGAAAGTAGTGCGCGCTCAACGGTTTATGGTCATTTCAGGAAAGGGAATCCGAGAAGGCGCACCAAATTCTAACTGAAGCTGTTGCAAAACTAGAAATGCAATTGAGAGAACAAGGCAAATCCCTAGAGACTGTAGGTTAGACTATTTGTTTTATTTTTTGTCTCCAGGACAGGTGGATGTTAAGGCAGGAGCAGGCGCGCCTAACCAAACTCCAGGTCACGTTGGAAGAAGACCGTCGGGCCTTAATTGAGCAGGCCGGAAAGGAAAGAATCGAACTTCAACACCTCATAGTAAGTATTTTGTTTGCATAATAAAGAAACCACAAAGCAAGGTCCCAAATACCACACGTCTCGTAATTATGAGGCGTATGAATAAAAGGTTTAGTTTCTTTAGGTCAATTCTGAACCTATTTATGAAGCAAAATGATGTTCACCTGATCCCCACCACATGCGTCAACCATGAGAAGTTCAATTCAGGTATTTCTTCCTAGGAGTGGGCATCAGCTGTAGACCTAAAATAAAACCGAACCCATTGTATGGATTAACCAAAGTGAACAAAGTCCGCGAAGGCCTCAATCCTAGAAGGGTCGTCAGAATGCCAGAGCTGTTAGCCCCTCATCTCTTACCTGCTCTGTGTTTTTTGCTAGGCCTCGTTCTTTGCGGAGCATCGCGAGACGCAGGCGCGTCTGGCGGCAGAGCGCAACGCCACGGCAGAACAACAGCAAAAACTCCGATCAGATCAAATTAACTGGCGAAAGCAGCAGGAAGAGGAGGAAAAGAAGTTGGCTACTGTAAGTGTTCTGCGCAACCAAAAGGATTAATTGCTGCATCTTTTGTTATCGATCTATCTGACAGCATCAATTTCTTTTTTTCGTGCAAAATATAACTTTGGTCGGCTTAGTCATTCATGGGATTCGAATGTTGTGGGTTCGAACTATTGGATGCCATTTTTGCGTCATTTCACACACAAGATGGACCTGTTGCGCCAATCGGAATTAGTCATAACACACGCCTATCCATCCCATGTAGATGCTAAACTTTTGGTCTTGTTTTCAGATGAAAAAAGAACTTGAGCGCGCCAAGGAGACTTTTCAAGTGGAAAGACATGCCCTTGATGAGAGAGTGCATCAGCTGCACTTAACCGAAGTAAAACTGACGGAAACACAACGCCACCTCGACATCATTCGGTAAAATTACGCCTGAATCATTGCTCTTTCCCATAAAATATGGACGTTCATGGGCATAAACGCATTTCTAAGTTCTGCACGCATTCTTGCAGGGATTTGGATTCGGGTCGACTTTGCCTCAACCTTTGCGTAAACTTTGCTGCAACATACCTGGATACTTGACGCTGATTAAACACAGTTTTGAATCAAATTTTTGCAAAAGGCCTAATTTCTCAGAGGTTTTGAGGTTTACACTTTGGCCCTATTGCTAGGTATCAGGCAAATTTTTCTTGTGACCTCAACAAAACCAATCGCTGGTTTTTACCGAATAATCAGTTTTTTGCAAAATATTCTGTTACATATTCTTCCTCTAAAAACGACGTTTAGCATCAACCCACCTTGTGATGTCCAGAATGATTTGTGCTATGGTAGTTGCCCTTATCTAGATTTGATGACTTTTGAAACCAATTTTTTAAAGTAATTTCAATGTCAAATTTTCAGATAGTTAATCATTTTGATGCACTGGATTAGTTTAAAACATTCTAGAAGGGTGGGGACTTGTATCTGTAACTCTGTTGTCCTCCTTGATGCGTTAATGTTCACTGTTGTTTCAGTAAATTTTAACGATTTTCATCCTCTAAGAAAGAAATTAGTTATGATCAAGCAGATGCTCACTGTTTACTGTTGATTTATCAAAATCATCTCATTACATTTCTGACTGAACTTACCAATAATTGTGTGACCACATCCCAGAAACAATCTTCAAGGCAAAGAGACGTCTCTGAACGAACGTGCAGCTGAACTAGATAGGCGACAAGAAGATCTGACAAGCCATGCTGCCACACTGAGCGGCACTCAGGCAGCAGTAGCCGAAATCGACGCCAAGTGTCGCCGGTTACTGGAAGAGCAAGAGCGTGAACAAACGGTGCTGCAAGCTCGCAGGGAAGAACTCGATGATCAAGAAAAACGGCTCTTTCGTGTACGTTCTACTTACAATTTATAATTGGCGATCAGGTTGTACGTACTGTATCTGTTTCTGGAATTCTGTAAACTTAAAATGCGTGGAATTGAAGCATCATTATTGAGCAGTAAATTATCTGTTTATTCTATTTCTAACATCTTAGGAACAGGAAGAATTAGCAAAGCGGGAAGATGACTACGCGAAGAAGCTCAAAGTTGAGAGAAAGTTAGTCTGCTGTAGGTGCAAGCAGGCCGTGAAAAGAATTCCTCACAATGACCGCAGCTCCGGCTCCAAATACAACCAACCGGACTTAAATGGGGAGGCTCGATGTAGCGAAGGTAGACTCGTTTAACTTTGCAGACTCATTGAAAGTGTAAATTGCAATGTATGCGTTTGTTGTCCCTCCAATTTTGTGCGATTGAGTTTTTCAATTCTGAGTTTTTGTGCATTTCTTTGGAACACCAATTCTGCTCTGGGGAGTTCATTATCACCATAATCGTCGTTCTAGAAATATCCTATTGACCCGGGAATCGATTGACGGAATATTGGTCAGGTTTACCTTGATCTGTGGCCACAGGAACGTTGACAAAGCCCCAGCATCCTCACTTTTAGTCAAATCGACCCAGTGCCTGTTACCCTTTACTTGACCTTCTGTTGTTAATGAGTAGAAAAGGGGGATGACTGGGTTCCCATGTAGGTCAAATGAATCAGCTATTTTTTCACACTTTCTAGTCATGATACGTGTTGATAAGCAAAATTTCCTTCCTTACTCTTCTTTGCCGCTGAGGCGTTAAAGGTGACAATTGTCCACAGCCTTAGTAACGGAATAACGTGTGACTTGGCAACTGAAAAATATTTCCCAACCTATTTCATACCCGTTTTTTATAGACTCGCCTTGATTATTTAATGTCTCGATTTGACGTCATATCTCTTGAAAAAAGAACTGTGTAGTTAATTCATCCCAAAGGTCCTCTTCTCTGTTTGCTACAGAGCCTCTAAATTCTCCTGGCATCTTTGATCTAGCCGATTTGACCTGAGGTGTCCCTCTGTAGCGAAAGATATCGTCTTTATAAGTTCGCAGTGGTCATCTGTGCATAAAAAGTTTTGTTATCGCCCAAATTTCAGCGCTTTTTTATTCATTACATTCATCTCGAGTGTTCCGAATTCGTAGCAGATTGAAGCTTGTTTGCTTTCACCATCTTCACTTCAGTTTTAGGCGAAAGAAATCTTTGAAACTGCCTGTTGGTCTGTTGGTGGAAATAATGTCTGATTAAATTATGTACGATGATATCAGCTTTAGATTAACATGCAACATCAAAAACAAGAGGGTTAGAAATTTTCCCATCCTAGCTTCACAATCTGAGGGGAGGGAAATATTGTGACACCCAACCCCCCCTTCATAACAACGTCTAGGTTGCCCTACCCAACCCTTGTTTCCATGGTCAATTGCGTCATACTAGGTTGTCCTTCTGGCAACAGAGGCGAGTTTAAAGGCAAAAGAAGTCTTTCCTGCGAGTTGTTTCCAACTCGACAAATTGAAGCTTGTGTGGGTATGTTGTCTCATTTGGTGGAGAAGATCCATAGTCTTTCCGTGGGCAAAATTACCCCCAAATCCAGGAAACTTGATGTGTCATCGTCGAAATAAACCAAAACAGGATGAATCTCCCTTATTAGAAGGAATGGCCCTGAAGTGCTGTGATGCCTCAAACGAGTTTCTTGGTCTTTGAACTTATTGGTAATATTCACCTCCCCACCGTGCTGTTAATGCTGGAATGCTGTGCGAAGCAGACTTCATGCTAATGAAGAAGGTTGCACAAGGCAATTCTAGGCTCTATTCAATCCATGTATCCATCACTTTCTTCTTAAGCTTGGAGCCCTGATCACATTCCTCGAGTAGCACTCGATACGAATCCAGAAGCCGTGAAACTGATAGAAGATATCTCCAACCAACACACGCGTGCACGCATGCTGGAACAGCTGCGGAAGGAACTCGCTAAGGTGCGTACTCGTGGGACCGTTGTTGGGTCACATTCTTTCTCTCTCATCTTAAAAAGCGTTTCCACTCTCTTTACTTGTGGTTCTTGCGCCTGAACCGACTTATGCCACCAATTGACCCAATTATCAATCTAACGGAGTTTGTCTATTTCGAATTGGGTCACTAGCAGTTTCCTTGTACCATTGGAGCAACATTGCCCTTAATCTCAGTATTCTAAAACACGCCAATGCGCACTTAATGGTACCTCACAAATGTCTTATACATTCTTCTTATTTGTATCTTTATTTACCATAACAGGCACCGTATTTTAAATGCATGTTGTTCTTGCTGGCCGTTTCCAGAACCTATTTAGCTTTTTCGGCTGTGACGTGTTTTGCTAATCATTGGCTTTGTTTTGTAGGACAACGAATTTCTTGAAGATGAAAGAATTTATCTGAGTGGTCTTAGACATGCCTCGTATACTTGATGGTGTTCTTCTCTGCGATCTTCGGTGCCAAATTTACACTACTTTTGTTTGTGCTTTTTTGATAAAATCAAGGTTTTATCAACACGCCAATCTTGTTTCAAATAGTTGACTTATAAAACCCGGCAGCTTATACAAGTGTTTGTCACCTCGATTTCTTCTATCTATTGACCGATCTTGTAGGGCTGAGGCAAGCGGGGACGTCAAGTCCCTTTCTTATTAACCCGATTCTACTAATTGACACGTAGAATGTGCGCTATGCAACACGGTGGTCTTTCGGGTGGGTCTCTACCTAACACAAGAAAAATTTGTTTATTGGTGCTGGGCTATGTGCTGCCCTGCCTTAATTTACTTCCAATTGTGCGTGCTCGTTTTGAGCCCAGCAGAGCAGAAATTAAAAAAACTCAATACTCACTGAAGTCTTTGTGGTTCCGCCGTTTCCACCGGTGGGATTGAACAACGAACAGGTCGCATGTAATTCAACTGACGCCATGTTACTCTTCATATACACATGCCTGAATACAACGAGTTCGCATGATAATTTGCTTTCGTGTGGCATGGGACACAGCTCAGTCGCCCGACGCAAGGAGTGAAATTTAATTAATCTTATATTTTGCCTTGGGTCTAGCTACGTCATCATTCTGCGCTCGTAGTGCTGCTGGTCCATACAAGCAAGGAATTGATGCAAATGTGATTTCATGTAGTCACTAGACTGCAAACATTTCACCATTCAAACGATTTTGCTTCCTTCGAAATAAAGGATACGTTTGTGGTGAGAGGTCAAAGCTACACGAAAGATACAATTTTACTTTCTACGAGCTACCAAACACTTATGAGGCTCTGCACTGTCTTGGTCTATTTGTTTTGTGCTTGTTCATCACAAATCAACATCGTAATCATTTTCACCAACCTTAATGAGGATTTTTAATTTCTCGTTAACGGTGACTACTTGTATCAAAGCAATGGACTTACTGATTTTGAGATGCAAAGTGGATCTCTTTTTACTCATGAACATCAAAAAATATTCAGCTTTCTAACGAGACCACGAGACTCGAAGTGTTTTTAAATTGATGTATCAGGTAAATTTAGTCCGTCTGAAGTCTTGTGCGCGGCTATAACGACTACCCGATTCAATTGTGGCTTTGAGATTGTCAACAGCTCCTTCATTAAGTCAACCTGTAGGAGTTCGATCAACCTTTTAACCAGTTCTGTCACTTGTAATCAACACCACGCTAGTCTACTATCACGCATGAATTTTAGCAGCTCTCTTCATATTATGGAGACAGTAAAATATGCTGAAACAGTTTGTACTTTATTTTATAATTAACATTAAACTCACAGCCATAACTAAATCACGCAAAAGTTGCGTTTAGGGTGAGCTAAAAAAAGGAAAATATTCAGCTTTGACAGAAGTCCTCCAGAGCAGGCCCATTACAAGACCTTTGGTCACGTCATGATTAGGGCAATGGAAATCTTAACAGAAGTTAAACTGGAAGTAGGGGGCAGAATCAATTCCTTAAACCGGAAATTTGAATTGCGGGCGTCCGTTAAAACGATGATTTGCTCCTTGAAAACAACGCAGCAGCTGCTTTAACTAATCATCCAATTCATTTGATATAACTTAACCCTGAATTGGATATTGAAAAATACTCGTTTTTAATCACAATTATGCTTACAAGAATAGGTGAGTTCTAAAGATAGAAGGGCGCAGTAGATCATCTGCCCTATTGAGTAATCACTCCGATTGTGGCCAATGATAGGTAGGCCGATTTACAGTCCAAGAGCCATGGAATCCCATTGACGGATGACTAGGTGGCTGCTCAAGGAATCCCTGCCTCACTGTGGTGGCTGTGGTGGAGGACATTTGAGAGCTATTAGACGGGGAACTAGACGTTGCATTGTCATCCACTGCTCCTACACTGAGTGGCTGGAGGAGTCCTCCGATTGTCTGCTGATGGAAGGGTCCCGATTCGGAGGTGAAGAAGCACCCTGCAGGGTCGATGTGTTGGTTATGAGGGGAAGACTGTTGGGGGTGACAGAACCAAGCATTTTCGATATTGACATCGTGAGGTTGTTTGTATTGGAAGTAGTATGCGGGGTTGGGGTAAGCAGAGGCGGTTGGCGAGAATTCTGGAAGATCGGCGGGACAGTTTTGATTCATTGAAAAGGAATTCAGGTATTCCGATTGACGGCTTCTTGTTAAAGCTGCCGGGGTAAATGACTCAGTACTTGGGTTCTGTAAAGAAGTCATGACGTGATTCTCTTGTATTTTCAAATCGGCAGCGTCGGTACTTCTGTAACCACAAAGCAACAGTATTATGATATGACAACTGCAGACTCATGTTCCGGGAAGTATGTACGGTTTGTGAAGAACTTCAGGGTATTCGGTTAAGAACGAGATGCGATTAGGTGTGCCGACGTGAAAATCCACGTTTAATTTTAAAAGCCGAAATTACGTGCCGATTGTCGGAGCAGTCCTTTGATTTAAGGGGGGTGAGTGGCGCCGTTATCAGACTTACTTTGGGTACTCACACGCACTCACTCAAACACACACTCACCCACACATACAACTTCATCGGTTGTTTTGATTTTCCTTGAGCACAATTTACTCTGATTTTAGTGCGACCGTGTATCTAGTTGACCCACAACTGGCAAACAGGATCCCTTGATGAGACAGTAATGCCAGAGTTTTCACATTGGATCTAGGGATATTTCACAATGATGACGTGAGTGCTAATTGGTTGCCTAAAGCAAGCTACTGCAAACATCATACTATCCGTCTAAGCATTGCACTTAGTCGCTTAGACAATCGCTGCCGCTTAACCTGTGGGAGTCAGCGTGGTACTGTGAAATCGGCACGTTTGAACACTGGGTTCTCCTGTCAGTGCTGGATCGGCAGAGGGAAGAAGCAAACGGATACACGGACCCGTGTGAGCTCCAGGAGACCTGTGTGTGCATGAGTAGACAAGTGCCGAGGCAAGTGAGCATTCCCTAACCAGGCCACGCAGGTGGTGTGGGTAAAACAGGGGACACATAAATGCCACACGATCGCACAAAAATGATGTACCGTTAGTCACTTGGCTGGCTGAAGTATTCACACAAATTAATTACGAGGCAAACTTCTTTACCCGTCTAGCGCACCATGTAATCAGTAGCTTCGCGGTCACCTTACCAACCTATGCTGAAACAATAAACTTAAAACCTGGTGTGACCTGAAAACATTCTAAGATGAGTTTTGTCGATCGTACAGCGATTCACCCGAAAGCCTGTTTTCGAGCCACTCTCTTTTCATGATTTCCCGAATATATCGCAGGCCAATATTTACAGATGGTAACATATGGCCGTAGTTTCCTGAATTTGAGGGGATTACTTCAAATCTTGGAGCAAGTTTGAGGCCACCCAAGTTCTGTGAGGGTTCTGCTTAAAACTCAACACGAGTAAGAGATCAAGTAGTTTTAGTTGACGGCATAAGTAATCGTGAGCAGATCACAGTGACTGCTTACCTTCATGCAGAGGACTTGATATTAACATCCACTCCATCAACCACCGAGACTACGGGATAGTTCAAAATTCTTGCACAACACTTTTACTCGATTTTGGAAATTAGCATTGTTTTGAAGTGGTCTCATCAACATCAACAATATTTAATGCATTACGCTTCTGACAATAGCCTGTTCTGAAGCGTGCAAGACTTGTCCAACCAGCACCATCTGCAAAGGGTCAACAAAGGGTCAAGGTCGAATTCCCGAAAAGACCGATTTTTTATTTAATTGATCGGAAACCCCAGCATAAAAAATTGCGGGAGGTCGGCTTTACATGTTCAGATTTCAGTCTAATTGAGCTGCAGCATGGCTGCCTTGACTAATGCGCAAACAACAAAGAAACTGTTACAAATGGCATGCGAAATATGCAAGATCTTAGGCTCTGGTAAAACGTCTTTTGATATTTATGTCGGTGCAGTTTTTTTCTTAAAAAACCATTCAGTAACCCTATTTATCTAGTTTCGATTTTGATTTTGATTTTGAAAGCGCAGTAGCAGCAACTGTCTGGTTGCTGGTAACACTCTCTGTCCTTCAGCTCCCAAGTCCGCCCAAATTACACAAACAAACAGCCAGCCAATGCAAATATGTACTTTTGTAAGCAGAGGTCGGTGGACTCACGTTAGGACATAGTTGAGGCCGATGATGCAGTTTGGCCGAGACGAGCGACTGTTGTGCACTTTTGTGGCGTAAGTCTGGATCCATACCCAGCCGCCATTTTTTGTGAGCAATCTGTAGTAGCCTGTCGTAACTTGGCCTTTTTTAATCACTACAAAATTAAACAAACGCTGGTGTAACAGGCATTGCTGTGTCGGTTTTGCTGTTAAATTCGGTCTGCTGTGCCGCAGCAACTGTTACATAGACAAGAGCACCACCAGTTACACAATGATTCGTGTTCTAATTCTGTGACCTAACAGCCACTAAGTTCAGTGTTGCTGGACTAAAAAAGTTTATGGAACAAACCATTTGGACCTGCGAACACCTGCTCACGCGTTGAGCCTAGCACTGTGACCAAATAAAGCTTATCTACATATTTCTATACAAGTCTGCTGTTGGCTGTTCACGACGCACTTCATGCGATGGGATGCATGTTTAATGATAGTTGTTGGCATAGGTTTAATGTGGACTTACGAATTTCGTGACTTCTCCGTAGCTCCTCGGCGTCGCTGGCATGCACAAGCTGGTAGATGGTCTTCTCGATAAGGTCTTGGGGCTGGTAGCCCGTTAGGGCTGAGACCCTGGTGAGCAAAAGAAGCTCCTTCAGACTCTGACATGACAGGTTTCCACGTGTAAACCTATTCCTCGTTGCTTTGGCATTAAGGCTGTCTATATTTCGGTCACATTACACACGTAAATTGTCACGGATCAAATTTAGATTTGAGGGAAATTTTATATTCACGGACTGCTATAAATTCCGATGTCTTGTTAATAACCTGTTATACGATAGACAGTGGCAGATTATTTTCCCTTCTGGAGTAAGGTGGAGGCTTCCATTAGGGGGGGAAGGGGTTTCAACGTGTCCTCCTGCAAGCAATACCGAACGGTTTGTTCACTCACCGTCCTTCCAAGTAGATGAGTCTTAGGTCAAGGCTCGCACGAAACATGAACATGTCACCGCCGAGGCGGACTTCAGTTGAGTTGATGTTGGCGATAGGAAGAGCGAAGCCTGATGCAATGAGACCAAGGTTTTGCAGTTGGGTGTATCCATCGGCATGGATCACGCGAAATTTCAAGTAACCACTACAGTGTAGAACCTAAAACGATTCGTTTAAATGGTTACGTAATGAATCGGAATGGGGTTGGAGGAGTTTTGATGGGTCAAGTCGTTTCCTAAACCCCTATTGATAAACTCCACGGGATATGCTCTGCAGACCCGGAATGCTAACAAAAATCTAGACGTCTCCGTAAACTCAGTGCACTTCTTTTTTGTCAGAAGAATAACAGTCTGTTCAATAAATTGTGCTGAACCTTTTAAATAAAAACTGCTCCATGATGCTGTGAAGAATGTTAAGTTTAATCACCTCAATTCCTCTAATTGCTTACGTGCTTACTGACGTGAAATGAGCCTTAGTTGAACCACCTAATCGAGTTTTCAAGCCCACTAACCAGAGACATTTCTTGAGTTACCCCAGTTAATCAGCATTAAAGTATTCTTGCCTTAAATCCGGAGGAGGTCAGCCCCGCGTTGCGCTTGGCAAGAACGCACTTCATCCGAACAACAAAACGGCGTTCGAGATTGAACTCTGTGTGAGGGGAAAAATTGTTAATTGATTGCACCTCATAAATGTGTCAAATTGTGCCATAAAATGAACGTGTGCGTCCCATCCCCCCTCCACCAGCCTACCGTCTATTTGTGTAAATCGCTAAAACATGCAACATCGATGACCCTCGGATAGGAGCAAATCAAACACTCGACCCGCAGGGATGAGGCCTGGAATCGGGGGCGGTGGCAGAGGGATGACTGAATTCGAGCATGCAACCACCTTTTAGCACAATTTGGAGATCTTTGTAAGAAGACACTCCGAGATTAGAGGTGATGCTTTGTGTTTTCTTTATAAGGGGGTCATTACACTGCTGTTTAGCAACCAAACTACACTATTTAGGGATCGATACAGCACGAGATGGTGCATAAAATTACCTTCGCCGACAACAGCAGTGGGGGGAATTTCCGTTGGTTGTATTGCGAGTACCTGCTTAATATCTTCAATATCTGCTGAATGGAGGTACTCCGAGATATCATTTCCGATCATATCAACCTAGTAAAAACAGGGAAAACTGAATTACCGCTTTCAGTATTAATAATGACGCCATCATACCTTAAAATCTTACCTGTTGCAGACCCAGCATCGGCGAAACAGTCTCTGAGATGTAGAGAAATTTGCAGTCTGGAGAAATTATAAAGAGGAATCCGTCCATTGCCTGAAAAAACAAAGCCTAACTGGTGAACCACAGTCAAAGTCCATTGCAATGACTCCCAATCAAGAAGCCCACCGTTAAAAGGCCGACGCCCACGTTCTCGTCCACTGAACTCGGCATTGTTGTGGCCAATTGCCGACGTCCCAATACATATCCAACTCCTTCAAAAAAGACAAAAAGTGTCGTAATGTGCTGCACGTGACACAACATCAGCCGACTTGACTTCACAAAGCAAATTGCCATCTGCATCAGTGGCCGGTTGTCATGTGCGTTTGGGGAAATTGTCTGCAGGAGTTAAAATATGGTTAATACTTGAAAAAAACTGAATTTCGTTATTTACAGGGTTGCACTTTCGGTAGTTTGCAGAACTATTTATTCTGGGAACATTAAATGAAGATGAAGAATCCAGTATTGCTCCAATTTAATGGTCGGAAACAAATGATAATATAACATCACTTAAATTAATTTGTGGAAGAATATGGAAACCAGTTACTGGACCCAAACTCAGAAAGGGCTTTAAGAGTGTAACTAATGCGTTAAGAAGTTACATTCTGGACAGTGAGCCTCTTGTGGGAGGTCATTTCGGAATTTTAGCTGTCTCACTGTTTAGGTGGTCATAGGGCATTGTCAAACAAAAATCCTACCTATTATTCCTGACATAAATGCCAAAACAAGGTATTTTGGATCGCGAATTTCCAGTTTGTGGCAGAAACATACTTCCAATGTTTTTGATCTAACTTAAATTCATGTTAGTTTATTTCAGTTTTAAGGAAATATGCACTTTCTGAAATAATAATTCCATCATGAACTTCGTGTGCATCACTCAACAGTCCGATTTATTAATCGCCTGAGCCAAGAGGTTTAACGTGGAACAAAGTCATGCTACTACCAACGTAGGTTAAGTTAAAACTCGATATCGTTGACTGGTGTAACAACTACCAGGCGTGTAAGTAAGCTGGTTAAACAGTCAAATAATTCCTTCAATTGCCGTAGCGTCCAAGTAGAAGCTTCATGGCAATCAGTCTGTTTTATTTTCTTCCTCAAAGTCGCAAATGTTGATTGTTACCGATGCTCCAGGAACCGCAAATTAACTGGTATGTGGAAGACCGCTACCCCGCCCCCTACCCTTATCAGTCTGTTTACTTAACCCCTTTGGATGGCGCGTGTAAGTTTACTGCGTGGGGGTGGCAGGGCCCGGCAGTTCGATGCTTTGCAGAACCGTCCCCACACAATAACCCCTGCTGAGATATCGGTCGTTCCCCCGTCACCTTGCAGCCCTAGCCCAACGCACAGGTGCCTCCGGGGGGGGGGCGAACACTACCGTGTTGTGGCACTGGACCGTCTTCGTGCAACTTAATGAACTGTTCTCTCCTCGGTAGAGCGCTGCACATCTTACTGTCGGAAGCGTAGGCTTTTAGCTGCATTGAATGACTGCGGGAAGACGTTTTTGGGCTAAAAAATATTCATTCCTTGTTATGCTTGAATGCCACATTATCCCATTCACATTCAGCCCCCGACTTAATAGCCTGGCATCAGTGGCGTTGAAGCAGGCTCATCCAATCGACTTTTATTGTTTCCGTGAGGGCTATTGTTCCCTGAAATGGGCCATCGCATCTTGACGCCCGGCTGTCAGCCGCTAATGTGTAAACAAGGCCAAGAAACACGTTTCCGCTGGGGGGTGGGGTGAAGTGGGCTTGTTCACACCGAATCAGTTACAAGTCGCTACTTGCTTTTGAAATGGGTAACCGAAAAGTCCTCATTGTAAGCGATTTCTTTTCACGTTTCTCCACAGATTTGATTTGAACACGAATCTTATTTATTGATATGGTATTCATGTCCCCCGGAGGTTCCCCCTCCCTCTAATTTGTAGCTTGACCAATGTGGTGTTTAGATTTAAGGCCCATTTTGTGAATGTTACTTGATCAGATTCAAGGGCTTCTGGGTTTCATTTGAAGAGCTCTACCAAACCTCCAAAACGCCCTTATACTGACATAATAATTTGAATCACTAAAAGTATTCCCCTCATCCACACCTTCCTTTCGAAATTGGTTGCTTTGGCGACGTCTGAGCAATCATAGTAAACCTCGTTCAGATATGAGATGCTTGAGGTAATCAGGTGGAAAATATTTTGCTCATTCTACACTTGAGTGACCTCGCTCGTCTAGAGGACAGTCAGGGAGTGTGTGTGGTCTTCTGTCCACTCATCAGCTAACGAAGGCCACGTGACCTGAGCAGTGTTGCCGGCTCGAAAAATAAGGGCTGATTGGATAACTATGGCCTGAATCCTTTTACGCCCTATTCAGGTGGTTCTAACGGTTGTTTAAACCGGATTCACATTCTTGGTAGAGCACTACAGAAGAGGATTCCGATGAATTAGTTTGTAGGCAGCAAAAATTTTTGGGACTCCAAGTCAGCTAACAATGCGGATTTCAAATCTCTCTTTTAAGACCTACCTACTAGTCAACGCCCCTTCATTTCTTGCCAAAATAGTGGAAAAACGGGATCACCAAAAGATGATTGGCTAGTGCATATCCGGAAATGAACTCATATCAATTCTCTCTGTGGTCCGTGCTCTTCGAGCCCTGGACTTACCGTTAGGGTAAATTGCCCGAACCTTCAAGTAGCTTGTCGCTAGCCGAATGATCGAAGCCTTGTCCAGCTGTGAGGTAATGGAAGCCGACATAGGCAGGAGACTAGCCAAGTTGGCGAACTCAACATTTTCCTTCACTCGTCTTGAGCGTGCAGCGTTTTTCGACCTCTCCTTCATCCTCGGTGACAAGGGGCTGGTGTTGGTGCTGGGTGAGGGTTGTTGGCCGGTGGCGTTCACCGAGGGAAGGTAGGCGTCTGTGGGCAGTGGAAAGAAGACAGTCGGGTCTTGATGGTGGTGGACGGGCATTAGAGGACAGTGTGCCTGCTGGGCGTCCGGCAACAGCTGCGACATCAAGTGGGGATGCTGCTGTAGGTAATCCGAGTGGGTGTGCATTACCTAGAAACCACCAATACTTCCCAGAATTTGGCAATACCTCCCTCCTATATGGGTGTGATCTTACTATTTCGGAGGGCAAATGGGTTGTTTTCCTGACCTAAGCAAACGAGACTTAATACTGCCAGTTAAGGTCTCTGCCATTTCATTTTTCCACAGAGCCCATCAACGGGTACTCGTGGAAGCAAGTTTTGTGGTTTTTTTAACGGATGCTGTGGCAAAATGGGATTTGCAACAAAGGAATGATGTGCACATTAAACGCTTGTGCTTTTAATTGGTGTGTTCTAATTTTCGGGATATGCGAACCTGGGACGGTGGGTTCAGGCAGACTAAAAAACAACGAATAGCATCTTCACATGGGACTAAATTATGGACTGTTCACATTATTTGACAGGAATTTTGTGCTGAGTGAAATTGCTACAGACCATAAACAAAACGTTAAATTTCTAGCGATAAAGCAAATATTCATTATGGCCAATGAAGCGATGACGTCTGAAACGGCTTTTAAGCAACAGGAAACCGTGCAGCCATCAACAGTGAAAGTTCGAACAAGAGGCATCGGACTTTATTTCTCCACAAGTGAGAAGTGAACTACGGTCAGCAATCCGTAAACGAAAACACACAGTTAACACAGGAATAACCTGTATTAATTACGCTGAGAAACGGTTTCTTTTCTAAAAACTGTTTCAATCAGTGTAATGCGGTTACAAGGGAAATAGCAGCAAATAGATTTCGAATCCCAATGAATGTAATCGTTCTAGGACTGAAAGACCAGGCGTCGCATTGCTTCGACAATCCCAATGTCGTCTAATTGAACCGGTGCCATTCTCCCAAATGCCAAGCCACCCAAGCACTAGAAACACTAAAGAAAGGCCAAAATACACGAAAGGTGTTAGGAGGTGAAAGAACATTCCCATACTGGTGGGTTTCGGTGTTTAAAGTCAAGGCATCGTGTGTGGAAAAGCAAGGCGACTTTTCAGATGCGCCCGATTAAATTGCCAGCGTCCAGACGGAACTATCTTAATAAAGTTTTACAACTTTGACCACGGAAAGCACAGAAAAGCAAATCAATCGTAACATTCATTTCTTCTAGGTCGGTCATGGTAACAAGTTGACTAATTTACAACCTTGATTTCGATGGGTTTACTTAGGTATGGAAACAATAAACCTTTAATGCCGAATGACAAACTGTGACTTAGTGTACCATAGCTGAGAGATGTCGGGCTGTTATTAGTTTGGATTACATGAATGGCTGAAAACTATCAAGTGGGAATCAAGGAACAATTTTCCGGAATTGAAGGCTTTCAAGACGAACGGGAATAAATTATTGTAAATAACTGGAAGTTTACCTATAAGATGGAACTATACTCCTCATATCTCCTATTTGGAATTCCAGACCACGTGGATTTATTCAAGTCCTAGTAGATAAACTCAGATTTGAGGAGATTACAATTGCGATGAATTTTTTAGTCACATAAGCCAGATAAATTGATGCGTCTGATGAATAATGGTAATAGTGCTGAAAGCGCGATACGGTATCGCAATATATGACTGAATGTCCCAGCTTCCAAAGTCAAGACACAAAAATTCGCATATGCACAGATTTGGAAATAATTACATAACGAAGGCATTAAACTAAAAAGACTGAACTCACGTTCCAGGATTGAAAGTTTAAATTCCTTAATTGATGTGGCTATCCCCCTTCGTACGTGCCGAAACGTCTTTTGGTACTAGACTCCTTGACTTCTCTTAGTTGCTGTAACAAGGCTCGACTGTTATATGTTCGTGACTAGCGCTGGGCTTCTGTATAGTGTTTGTGTGTTTGCGAGGGGGAGTGATGCGCGTGACAGAGCCTTGCAGCGTGACATCACGATCACGCACGTACGCACTCACGCAGAAGCTTTCGATTGGCGGACATTCATTGCGCGTTCAGCCAATAGGAAGGGAAGATGGGTCATGGCAAGAGCAGCTACATGAATATTAAAATCTTAAATAAATGTATAACCCTCTCATTTACTGATGATGAAATTTAATTTCTACTAATCGGATATTGAATAAAGAGCATATAACAGTTGCACTTCTACTTCATCTGTCTTCTCAGGTTTTTACAATAATTAACCGTTTTGCTCCTAGAGTTCATAGTAATATTCAACTCCTAATTTTCCGGTTATCTGTCTATTTTTATTTTAGGGTCGAAAAACCGCTTTCGTGGAATTTCGGTCAAACGAAAAACCCAACAAGGATTCCTATAGTACAAGCTGTATGTTCATTCGTCGTTGTGCCTTGATACATGGTTTCTTGATAGAAATTAAGGCGTTTTAAAGTAAAGTTTAACCGACTCGAATCTGCCACATCCATTTTTTTGAGATCCCATAGTTGGTTCATTTGCATTTGTTATCTATGCTTGCACCGAACACGAGTAGTGTCTATTATGGATAGGAAAATTATGCTATGAAACCCTTCTCGGTGTATCCAAATACCAACGTCTCTGTAGTTAAATGCAGTTTTTTCCAAGTTTAAGCTCACATTCCCGTAAACTTTGAGATTAATTGGTCTAATCTTTAAGTTTTATGAGCGCTTAGGTCCACCGGCACTCGGGAACTACGTTCATGTGCGTACTCTCAGCGCATACTTTACGTGAGAACTTTACAGATCGAGGGAGTTCTAGTCGACATATGTTGTTGTTTGTTATTTGAATCCATTCAATTACTTCTTGGATTTTTACGTCAGCAGCGTCTGCGTTGCAAAATGGACACGAGACAACTAGAGCATGTTTTAAAAACTGACTAGATATGAATAAACATCACAGTTATTTTTAATAGTACCTGAGCTTGCACCTCTTGCGTTCACACATGCTTACATAGGACTCATAATCCACGCGACCTAAATATATCAACAGATATAACATGGTTCGTGCATGTAATCCGGGGTTGTACTCTGAGCCTCGGATTTACACATTGTCGAAACTAAATGAACATAAAACACGGAACGATTAGCGTAAGCGGGGTGAGACACACGGTTTAGACCGGAACACATGTGAACCATCCTGATTCGACTGATTCTGCGAGATTTTATTTACCACCATGCGTTAGAATAGTGCCAAATTCCAGGCAGCGGAAGCCAAGTATTTTCGTTCAAGTATTTGACTTTTTAGCAAAAAAGTGAAAAAAATTCCTTAGGCAAAACTGGCATTAGCGTCTCTAGAAAATCTAAGCGCTTCCATTTTTGTGTTTGGAATCACCTGCAGGCAGGTGAGTTAGAGCAACTAACGAAGTTAAAAGTGCTTGAGGCGACAGTGACTAAATGCTTGATGAAAATAACTACCAGTTTTCTTGAGTTTATACATAAATCAGAGAGAGCGCTTTAAACACTTGCATGCTATTTTACACAACGAGCCCATTTACCCATTATGGAGGAGGTTCCCACTCCTCAAAATTTTTACTTTTTGTATTTTTAAGGCGCACTCGTGCCTGGAAAGTCGGAAACTTTTTGGTCCGCACTGCTTTTCGCTCTGTTGGTGTCCGTGTTGACTAAGCACCTCAATTACCGACAAAAATTTTGTACCCAATGAAAACCAGACGGGCAACTCAGGACCCTTGCAGGCCACACTTTACGTGTAGGCCACTAACGACGCCAAATCCAACGCGCAGTAAATTGCTTTCACGCCACAAAAGAATTCTCTTTCTTTTCGTCAAAGGTAACTCTAATCTTACTAGAAATTGCACTCACAGACTATACTTTTTGTGTCAAATTGTACGGGAGTTAGATTGCTTATTAGGCTTGACTGAAAATCCTTTAATTCGACCTGCTATTCCCTGAATTTCTTCAGTTTCTATAATTGCGCACTACGTGACATTACTTGTAAGGGATTATTTAACTTGGTCGTCCCATTGGTCTTTTGAAGAATGATGCTGCGAGGTTGTAATTTCTTAATAAAGGATCAGCCACAGACTCAATAAAGACAGGTCACTCTGATGATTGCACTAGTCAAATGGGAAATCGCGCAGGTCAAAGGGAACAAGGTAAGAAAGCGACTATCACGCTACCGCTTAAGAATAAGTAGCTGTGACGCAGAAGTAGCAGATCAGTTTGCACCAAGCCCTTGAAGAACCCTTTCATAGTCAACTTTCCTGTGCTAATCCAAGTACCTGATTGCTGGGAGGTCATTGTTGACATGCGATGCTCGACCAATGTTCCGAACCTACTTCGTGTTTGTCTCTTTACTTATGAAACTCCAGTCACAAAAGCCAATGTCTGAACCTGGAGCCATTGTGTGAATTAAACCACTGGCCCACACTTCCACAGAAAAATGGAAGTTTGGGCATTCATTGATTAACCATGTTGACTGGAATCAAGTCCTTTTAACACAAACGTCAATGTTATCAGGAGATACTATTATTGTTGTAAGGATATTGGAATCAGAAGCCATAAAGCACACAAAGCTTCCAGACGTGACAATGATATATCCTTTCGACTTCGTTTATTTCGTTCCGCCATCATACAAGGCATTTTCTGTTATAGGGAAATTAAGCTTTGATGCCAGCTATACGAAAAACTGGTGTTTGAGTAGCTTAGATGCAAGAAGTCTAAATCCAACCAAAAGATATCATCTTGTTCCACTTTTCGTCCGAGATAGGGGAGAAGTCCACTCGAGAAATGGTAGTGCGTGTCCATTTATCCACAAACCAGAGCTGTAATCGCGGAGTGTGTGTGTGTGTGTGCGTGTATAAACCAAATATGAACCACAAACGTAGCTCACTCCAGAGTTAGGAGAATTCAATTATTGCTGAATGAATTACACTCACCATGGCGACAGAAGTTACGCAGTCACCACAGCCACCACATGTACAGCACTCAGGGTGTGCGTTATTTTGCGAGACGGTTGCGTGAACTCAAGGCCTTTATCAAATCCTGGGAAATTCAAGTTGATTAAAGCTTTTGGCTGCTTTTCGATCGAAGACTGTGCTTAACGGATGTGAGTGTAAGTGATGAAAAATTAG